CAATCATCCACCTCTGTCATTGTTATCTTCTATGGTTGGTAAGTAAACTTGCAAAGAGCATTATGATGCTAACACTCACATAGTAAATTCTATTTGAGTAAATGCAAGTAATATTTTGCTTCAAAATAGGTACCGGAGTTTCACTCATCGTATTTTTATTTGCTAATAAGTTTCTTTTCATGGCAGTAATTAATCTCAAAGAAATTGACATCGGAACGAATTTTTGGCTGTGACAAATTGCCTCCAAAGATGTTAATTGCACGGTCTTGGGTTGAGCAATAAATCAAAGAAAAAGCGACGACAAAATCCGACCGGATTTAATTTTCTACTTCGCTTATTCTTAATTATTTATCTATATTTTACCCTATGTAACTTTTCTATGAAGAGCTCTGTTCTCCAAATCACCAAAGTACCATACTTGTGGAAATTACTTCTCCAGGTAATACAATAAGAAACCTTACAGGAAATCAAGAAGTACTGTATGGGCCAAATAAAAATAAAATATTTTGAAATCAGGATCATAATAATAGGTTTTTATATTCATGAAAAATTAGGAAAAATCAACCATGACATTCATGAGATATAAAAGTTTGATTTCTTCTTCTACAACTCATGAATAGCAAATATTTGATGCTATACAATTTTGAAAGAAGACAAAGTTAATCTCTAAAGTAATGAACCAAGAGAGACATCAATACATGATTAATTTTATTTTCTTTCTCTGGGCGCTGTATTAATATTTTTCCGATGTCGAGATTCTAGCCCCGCTATATGCATTTCTACCAACGATTAAAGGTTGTATTACTATATGATTTTCAGTACATGATGTTAGACATTATACGTATGTTTAAAAGCTATACTTATAATTGTTTCTTACCAAAATGAAGATGAGTTAGATTACACTTTTGATTGCATGCATGAATTCATAAAGACAATAATTTTCAAGTTTGCAGGATGTGAATTAGAGACTTACCTTAATACTTGAAATATATTTTAAGATCTTGAAATAAAATAAATCTAATTTATTTAAGCATTACTCTAGGTTATATATATATATATATATATATATATATATATATATATATATATATATATATATATATATATATATATATATGAAATGAGGTTAAGCTATATTGGATGCAAATAATTTAAAACCACATTGAAGTAGCTTCTAATATTGAAGTAAAAAATGTTGTATTACATGTCTCAGCATTTAAAAGGGTCTTGAGTACAAAACAACCGAAACAGACGTAAAGAACGAACGCCAAGAATATCGTCTATAAATAAATATTAGGTGAGATAGATTTAATACATGATTGTACCTCATAAAATAAATTTAAAAAATTCACATGTATCTAATTAAACTTTTATTGTTCATGTTCGTAGATTCAGGGGTTTACTATAAATTCACTCAAAATTTTGTTGTTCTAATGTTAATGTTATTTTACAGAAACGTGTATTATATGACTCGGTATACACGTGCAACGCACGTGACGATATATATATATATATATATATATATATATATATATATATATATATATTGTCACGACCCAAATCGATGGGCCGCAACGGGTACCCCGAGTCCTACCCGTCGAACACTCTTAAGCATGCGTCTAAGATATAAACATGAATAACATACGTGGGGGAAAAACATGTCCAAAAGACATATATACATATACATGCGGAATACAATGGGGCGAGCCAGCAAGGCTGCTATAGACAACTATATACCCAAAACTGGAAGCCGACAAGGCCACATACTATCCAACTATACATAACTGTCTACAGATCTCTACTAGAATATACAACTGTACAAGGATGGGACTGGGCCCCGTCATACCCATATGTGTACACAAGCATGCCGTACCAAGATCAAAAGCAGCTCCGGAGCAAATGGAGCACGCCAACTCTCGCTAATCAAGGATCCTAAGAAGGGGGACCGTCAGCCTGTCTACCTGCACCTGCGAGCATGAAACGCAGGCCCCGGGAAATAGAGCGTCAGTACGAATATTGTACTTAGTATGGAAGGCATGAAAATCAGTACATAAAAGACATAGATGAAACATGGAATAAGAATTCCGCCCGTAAGTCTAAATAACTTTGTAAAGCCCGAAACATTTATAATGTCATGCACGTGCGTATAAATGTCGTGACATGCATAGGTATAGGCGTACATAACATCATCAAGCCTCTAAGGGCATCCCATCATATCATCTCGGCCACTGTGGGCAACATCATCAACATATACCAGCTGATCAGGTGGTGGTGCGTATATAATGCCTTAACCTTTTTTTTCATATCCCATATACATATAATATACGCGTATATAACGCCATCTGGTCATGGGTCAATGTACATGTATAAATGAATGAAATGCATAAGAAATACGTTAATAAGATTTCTCAGAACGTTATAAGATCAATATACCTTTTGGATAAACTTTATCAACTACATTTTTTTTCTGACCCATGAATAGAAGATATAATTATATGTCACATGGGAAATCAAGAACATAGACACCCCTAGTACCTCTATGAATAGAGTCATTTATGAAAGTTGTGTGTTTGCTCGTTTCGTTTATATCATTTGGATCATGCCAGAAAGAAAGAAGGGATAACCTTAATATACCTGAGTCGATTCTCTTGATAGTCCCTCTAACACACGTTAATTGCGACAAAACACGTGACGGCGAGATCAAATAGAGAACAATTCGTATAATATTCTTGAAAAAGATTACACAGTACTCCCTTAGAATCGCAAACCCCACGTTGCTATAATATTAAGTAGTCTTCGTATGAAATGCTCGAACCAATAACGTTGCTTATTGCAAAATCATCTTTGATGAAACTCTTTCTTAAGAGATGTAACGTTGCTATGCAAAGAAATCTCTTTCCTTAGCAATTGATTTTGAACTAGAAATGTTACCTTTATCCTTTAGGTGGGCCCTACTTAGGATGACTAACCTTTCCTAAAGGCTTCTAATTTGGCCACCTAATTGTGATGAATCTTATTCATTACTTGGGGCTGCCACGTTGGGTTCCTTGGTCTTATCCAAGGTTGTTAATTAATTATCCATTAATTTTAATTAATTTGTTAATTTCTCCATTAACCAATAATCAATATAATTAAGAATTATCTTAAATTACTTAAAATACTACTCACTTTTAACATACCTTATACACCTTGCTATCATGGTCATGTAGTACCTTGTATGACACTAGTCCATAAATATCGGATATTATGGCTCGGACCGTATTTTATCCCAAATCAACAACTTTCAACGAAACTCGTTTTCTTTGATTCGTTTATCCTTTAACCTTCACAGCACTTACTTATCGCTTGTTATAAATAGCATAAATGCTTATAATCTTCAAGATAACTTCATCCCCGAGTCTACGTCGATTAACTGAAGACGAAACTTTAACATACGAAAACGCGAAATGTAACAATATATGAGAGACAGATATCATGTTAATTATTACTTTTACTACGTAATAAATAATAGCCAAGCAAATCACAAAATAGTTTCTACATTCATGATTTATGTATTTATAAAATTCTTCATTGAAGTCATTGTATGCAGTATGCACTGCATGGCAAAGTAAAATCACTCTAAAAAGAACTCATTCATCCTAATCTCGTTCTGGATAATCTTATTGATACATATCTGTCAGATGAATAACTATACATATATACAAATATAATAAAAAGGGACGTTTTATGTACCTATGCGATAAACAAGAATTTTCTTTTCACACATCAGCCTTGACATGTTGTCTAACTTAAAGTTGCATGTCTCTCTTTGAGGTTTTTTTCATTTTTAGCAAGCACGAAAAAATCTTTGGTGAATTTTTGTTTAAGGGTGATAGTGTGAAAGCACCAGATCTGTTAGGGTTTTTGGAAGCATATTTGGGTTTCTGCGGGCTTTTTATTTTTTCCTATTCATATAGACTAACTTTGAACGTACTTTCTTTGATTTTTTCAGAATATAAAAGGTGATTTGGTGCAGTTAATACAAGGAGATACATAGTTTGTTTATATAAGGAAGGATTCAATAATAAATTTTAGTTGATTTAAAAGTCCTATAAATTAGAATAACTTAAATGACTAATTTTTTCAATATAAACTCTATTTTTAAAGGGATAAAAAATGCGAACGACATTTAGCGAAGGTCCTTCCTACTTTTAATATAAATATAAATAGGTGCAGTAATAGTATGAGATGTTGTGCGTGATTTAGCAGGTTAATTTGTAGCTGCAACTTCTTTCGTTTTTTGAGGTTATGTCAACGCTAACATTGCTGAAATTATGAGTTTATGTTTTTGCACTCGCCTGGTTGGTTCAACATTTTGATGGCTCAGGTTTAGTTGAATGTGATGCCTAGGAAATGGAGATTTTAAAGAGTTTGAAGTGCTTTTAGAGGATTGTCGTTTATTATTAAAAAGAAATCTTAATATTTTTCTGGTTTTTGTTAAGAGGCAAACAAATCTAATTGCTTATTGCTTAATAAAATAGCTAAAGAATTATGCTAACCCTTCAATCTTCATATTGGGGGTATGCTACTAAACGCTAGTTTTATTGTAAGTTTGTTGATGCTTCGCCGTCTAATAAATTTTTTTGTTTGAGTTAAACATGTAACTTAGGGTGCATTTGCTATTTTCTCAATCCATTGTTTATTCATTAAAAACCTTTAAAGTCGTCGCATTCCATCCGTTTACGTCTGACTTTGCCCCTGGACCCACCTGATGATTACAAAGGTCGAGTAATCTCTTATCTCTCCAGCTAGAAAATAATAAAATATTTAAAAGGAACTATAAAAAATAAATAATAATAATAATAATAATTTGTTAGTCAAATTCTCACGGCGAGTAGTGACAACAAAAGGGCGACAGTGACAAGGAATTTTATAACTCTTTAGCGGCCGTTGATTTTTCTGAAGATTCGGCTTAAAGCTATATTCTAATACTTTCTATCATCATAATAATTATCACATCTATATATATAAGTTATATATCAAAGAAAAAACATAGTACGCAGTTTTTCTGCATTCTCTGAGATGCCTCTGTGAAAAATTTTCAAACTCATTTATTGGGCTTGGATTTTCACACTATAAACTGTAGTGGGCGATTGCCAATATTTATTTATAGATAAAGGTATAGAATATGGTGAACGTGAAGGGAATTTGGACGAAGAAAACATTACTGAGTCTTTTGCTTGGCCAATTTCTGTCCCTTCTCATTACCGCCACTGGGTTTTCATCCTCCGAACTCGCTAGAAAAGGTATTTTTGTTTGATTTTTGTAATTTTAGATTCGATTGTGATCGTAGCTGAAGCTCTGAGTAGCTTGACTGTTTGTTTGATTACTATAACTACCAATGGGTCTCTTTTGGTTTCTACATTATGCAACTAAAATTGTAAATATAATATTTATATAGATAGATAAATAGATATATAAAGTAGCAATTGGAATGAGTGTACCAATCTTTCTAACTGCAAGCAAAATAATGAGTCTATTTTTTCGTTTTTGATCAATCGTCGTCATATCTGAAGCTTTGAGTGGCTTGGCTGTTTGTTTTACTGAATAATATGTATAAATATTCCATTGACTGGCTTCTCTCTACAATTTGTATGACTACTGTTTTATACTAGAGCTTTTAGTTTTTAGCTCTGATTAGCTTCTATATTGTTCTGTGTATTAATTTCTAATTGTCCTAACTAAAGGCTAGTCTCTTCGTGCTAATTTGTTTTATTTTTCCTTAAAACACCTTTATTCTAGTCTAAATGACGAGTATGTAGATGCTACTGTTCACTGTTGCTTGATTTTTCTTTATTCTTTTCCTCCTTTTTTTTGGGAAAAGAAAGGGTAAAGTAGTGAATAAAGCATGCCAGATTAACCTATTATTTTTATAGTACTAATATTTGCCCTACTGAATGAACAGGTTTGACTTGACATAATTTATAGTAATTATCATGTCTTCAAATTGAGATTATGTGCTGTGTAAAGTTTGGAGAAACGTGTTGGTTCCTCTAAATGAATAGAAGAGGAGCCGGTACTAGCATTTTGTGTTCTTGAGATGGCTAACTTACTCTGTGAATCTAGTGCTCTTTGAGTTAGTATTAATGGATGGTAAAATTTAAGGGGAGGCAGCAAGAATTTTTCCTGGGGCACCCATGTATTCCATCCATGGCCTCTCCATCCAAAACACAAAATGTAATCTAAGTTAGTGTCCTTTATCCCTGTCTATTTCTTTGACAAGTAAATTTTTTTTTCCTTGCTATAGGAATCAATGCACCAACGTCGCAGTCATTTCTAAATTACGTGCTGTTGGCATTAGTTTATGGAGGCTTTATGATTTACAGGCGAAAGCCGCTCAAGGTTTACTTTCACTCTTTGAGTGCTTCTAGAAGCTTTGATTTTTTTTCATGTTCACCATAAGATATTCTATTGTGTTTGTTGCAATTTAATTGATTGACAAACATTTGAAGAATGAGCATACTTTTGACAAGTGTATGAAAACGAGCATTTTGCGGCAAAAAGTTAGTTATTGGTGTTTTGAGGCATGTTGAAGATCCTAGTCTCTGGAAAAAATATAGTATATCAAAATGTCTCAAGATCTAAGCAATTCCTGCAAGATTTATTAGGCCTAATTTTATTGTTCTCCATTCAACATTTTCTTTGCTATTATCCTCCCATCTTCTCCCACTTAGTACAATTACTATTTTCACGTCTCAAATAAGCAGTTATAGAATTGTATTTAGGACATATAGAGTAAACACGCTTTTGGGTGTAAAGCTTAAGAGCCTTGGCAAATCTTTAATTTGAGTACCCAAGCTAGCTTGAACTCGTTTTGTAGCACATTACTTGAACCCATCTACTTGTCTTTCATCAAGTTCTGACGTGTTGCTATTTTTTGTAGAATCCGAAGGTCCCACTTAAACCCTTAAGGTGACAGGTGGAGTAGCTCAAGACTTTTTATAAACCTTTTCAAAAAACTCTTTAAGTCCAAAAGTTTCGATGGACAAAAGAAATGGATCTATTGATGGACAAATGAGCTCAATCTGGAGAATCAAATCTGAGTGTATTTTTTCCCTTTTTTTTTATTTCTTCTGGTATAAAATGGATTTAGTAGAGGATGCTGAAATCCTGTTACAATTCATAGAATCTTTCGTATAGATAGTCAGGCTTTTCTTTGTTTGATCTTTTTTTGGGCTGTAACCACATCACTTTCTTAGTGCTGTCTTTGACATCAATAGTTCTTACCATTTCAAAAAAAATCTTTTTTCGAGAATGGTAACATATACTAATCAGCAGAAAAAGCTGTGCTGGTAGCCAAATTTACAAAACATTACCAGTGAGTTTAATCTGTCCTTTTCTACTTACAAGGATACCATTTCAAAAAATTCTTAAGACCAGAAGTTGGCTCTCATATCATATGATAGGGTAGCATTTAACTTGAAGCCTTGATATGATGTGTAGAATAGCCAAAGACGTGTAAAACTCCTTTTCATGCCCTTATCCGATATTGGATATTTATAGCTCAACAGCTTTTCTAAGAATTGTGTTCTTGTTTCTGTGTTTTTAAATGATCTTATTTGTTGATGCTTGTTTAATTAAGCAAGCTGTTGCAATTAAGATTGAATGCTTGGCTTACCTTCTTTTGTTTCTGTTTTCTTTTTGACCAGGCAAAATGGTATTATTACGTCCTCCTTGGAATAGTTGATGTGGAGGCCAATTTTCTTGGTAATTGCCTCATTAAACTTCTCTTGTGGAAGGAAGCCAAATAAACTGTTTGCCCTCATCTTTTTCATGTCTCTTTCACATACCCCACCTTGTATCTTTGAAACATGAATATGTTTTACTTGATGTTAACAGCCCCTTTCCTATATCACTGATCAAACCTTGATGACTTGCTCTTTTTAAACAAATATTGCATGCAATGTTGCTTTTATTTGGAAAGTTGTATTCCGTGCATGTCAGTTGAACCATGTGGTTAAACATCATGATTCATGATATTGCTAGCACAATGGAACACAGAGAACTAGTACTACAGGTTCTTTCTCAACGTTCTAGTTTTTGTATCTGGATAGTTTCTTGCCAGATTGGCCACAATGTCATATATGTTATGAAGATTTTATAAGCAATGCATCAATCTTTCAAAATATGCAGTTTCCTCTGCTACTTCTACAGACCATAATTGCCGCTTCTGGATAGAGATTCTGAGGATTGGCAATGCATGTTTACCTGGAACGCAAACTCCACATTTCGTCATTAAACAAACTCTCAGTTCATTTTCTGTTGCCTTTGCTTTGCAGTTGTGAAGGCTTACCAGTACACATCCCTGACAAGCGTGATGTTGCTGGATTGCTGGACAATTCCATGTGTTCTGCTTTTTACATGGTTTTTCTTGAAGACAAAATACATACCCAGAAAATTAGTCGCTGTTGCCATCTGTATTGCTGGTCTTGTCCTGGTCATCTTTTCAGATGTACATGCCGCAGATCGATCAAGTAATATTGTTACAACCAGTTGTCATCCTGCTTGTTCTGTTTGATGTTAATTATTAGTATGGTTTCACTGCATGCTCTTTCCTATTGCTTATGTTGCTCCCTATATATGATTGTGTATCATCTGGTAATTTTTGGAAAAGGGGGTGAACGTATAAGTCCTTGTGTCCAGCTGCTTCTCATATTAGTGATTTTGCAGTTTGTCGTTTGCTGACTCTATTTAACTTAAAATTCAGCGTATCTATTATCTGAAGAATAATACTTGAATTTCTCATTTTTGTAGGTGGTAGCAATCCTCTCAAAGGGGATATACTAGTGGTTGCTGGAGCCACGCTGTATGCTGTGACTAATGTCAGTGAGGTAAGCAATTGATAGCTGTGAAAATTCACTAGCTTTTCGATCCAGAAATGATATCTATGTGTAGTTAGAAAAGCTCTTTCTTCCCTGCGAGACATAGCAAGGTTGTTCCAATTGAACAGTATTTGCTTGTATTCCCTTTGGCCGATCCAATCAGCAGTTCAGCACTGTGCAAAAGACTACTTTAAAATTATTTGACTTGATGTCTGCAATTATCAATTTAATTATTTGACATCGGTCCATACGCATGTTTCTTTTATCCTCAGGCAGAAACTATAAAGTTCAGTAGTCCATTAAACCTTTCTTCCCAGGTTGTCTGAGGATATTGGGTTGTTCTGCATTGAGTACATTAATGTAATTCCATAAATTAGCTCTAAGTGACAATTTGCTGGTAAATACTTGTAAGAAAAGATCTTTTAGTGTTTGCTCCATAAACAAATTTGACTAGTCGGCAACCTATACACTGTATTGAACTTTCCTTATGCAATTTACGTTGTGGTAAAGGATAAAAGTCATTCCAGTTAACTGTAAAGGCAAGACTGGGAGTTTTATTTTTGATTCCTTGTACAGTGCAGTGCCCTTTTGACTATGAACTGTTTCTCTCTTGGTCTTGTTTCTCAAGCCGCTTTCCTGTTTTGCATTGTTAATGCTTTTATTTCATGTTCTATGCAGGAGTTTTTTGTTAAAAGTGCTGATAGGGTTGAACTCATGGCATTTCTGGGCCTGTTTGGTGCCGTTGTTAGTGCTTGCCAAATGTATCCTAATGTTCAGTCTTTTTAAGATTTTACTGGGGGTTAACCTTCTTTCTTGATAAATGCGTACTCGTTAACTGCTGTACATGACTTCTTTAACCATGCTACAGAAGCATACTTGAGCGCAATGAGTTGAAGTCCATTCATTGGTCAGCTGGAGCAGTAAGTCTCTTATGCTTTGATCTATTTCCTCACCAATGAACATGGATATAGATAGTGAAGAAAGAATTTAATGCTGCCTTTGGAATAGCAAATTTGGGTAGTATCCTTTCTTTAATTTCTAAGCAAGTTCACTTATGTTGGATATGGCTCATGTGAACACTTTGATTTGTTCTTTCCAAATGTATCAATGGAACCCAAACATGAAGCTGTAATTATAAAAGGTGAAATTAGCAACACACAGTCTGCATATTTCGAAGAAGATTAAGGTCCACGTTTTCCTGATGTCCTATACACTCATCTACCGCCCCAATAATGAAAAGGAAAACAAGCTGAAAAAGGCATGAATCTTATGCGATGGAGGCGGCATTATATAAAACATCATCCAGTTTTCAGATTGTCTCCTTCCAAAAACATTGTTGACACCTTTCTATGTTCAGCCACTTTACCTTGCAAACTGTACATGCTTACGAAAAGGTCAGTTTTGCGCATCTTAATTCAAATTCTAAAACTGGAAAAGAAAGTATAGAGGGCTCTTGTTTTGGGAAAGGGGGATAAAGGTGGTGGGCAATGGTGGGAGGGGTCAGGTTAGGGGCACGCTAAGTCGCTGGATGGGTTAGCAAGAGGTGCAATATATAAAATGTTGAAGGTTAAAATTTGGTCAAGATACTGCTTTAGTAAAAAAGAAACAAACACAATGCTGTTAACTGAAACATTGTAGATATATGAGAAATCTGAGTTTTTTTTCTTTTATCTCAAAGAGCCTAATTTGCCTTTCCAAAAGTAAGTCTTATAATGTGAGTATTGATGAGGTCCTTTAAGAGCGGAACTGGCTCGCCATTCCTTCTCATTTTTTGAGTTTACATACTCTGTTTCATTATCCGTCTTATGGTAGTCTTTTTTGTTTATTCTCACATCAAGCTGCCTAAACATTTATTACCATGGGCAATTTCAGACACTTCCCTTTGTTGGATTTGCATTGGCGATGTTTCTATTCTACTCGTTTGTTCCCGTTTTGCTGAAGGTATTGCCCCTCTCCCTATATCTCTATCTTTTTATCTGTTCACACACACATGTATGTATGTCTATGCATATATGTACAAAAAGATGATCAATCAGGCAATCATGTTTGGATCCAAAGCTAGTAGTGGTGCAATCTACAATATGCTGACCTGTTAAAGAAAAGTGATGTCTTCCTAATTCTAGCTATGATCAGTCTGGTTCTTGAAAATTAATTTCTGTTGCGGATCATCAGGTTTGAAGTTAGTTCTATCATTCTGATATGCCACCTTTTGCGTGCAGATGAGTGGTGCCACAATGCTAAATCTAGCGTTGCTTACCTCTGATATGTGGGCTGTTGTAATTCGTATCTTTGCATATCATGAGAAGGTTTGCAGAACAATCAGATTACTTAACATTTTAAGGATTAAAATCTATTTAAACGTATAACTGCTACTTTTACTGCGATACACTAGTGCTATTCTGAAATCAGTATCATTTTTCTTCAGGTTGACTGGATGTATTATGTAGCTTTTGCTGCTGTTGCTGTGGGACTCCTTGTTTATTCTGGGTAAGTAACAAATTTGGTTCCTGAATGGAGTTTCTTATATTTATTGTTGTCCATGTTTTCATAGAACTAAGACGGTCATCTAATTGCTGGTTTATTGCTTCACTGCTTCAATTGTTATAGTTTTGGTATCTTAAATGATATCATAGCGGCTTCTTAAACATGTGTTGTCACTGAGGGGTTGGCGTTCAGGATCTTGCTCAAAAGAGCAACAGGTTATAAATGTGCGCAATTGACTTGATTGTTTTTTATGAAGTTAAATTTTGTTAATTATGATCGGGAAAACCCCGTATGCAAGTTGATACTAAAAAGTTTAGAGAATCTTGCAGCTAAACATATTTTTTACAAGTACCAACTAGTCATCAATGCTGACCTGGACTGCATTATTCTTATCTTCAGCCCAAAGGAGGATAATCTGTTCTGGTAGCTCAATCATCACACTGAGATATGATATCACTCCAAAAGTGTAAAAGGAACGGAGCATTCTACTATCTGTACAAAAGGATTCTCTACCCCTTCAAACGTTTTCATATTTCTCTGTTCCCAAACAACTCACGTAAGAGTCAGTGGGGCTATGTCCCAAGTTCTTCTTTGTTTCCTCCTCTTGAATTTCCATCTTAGCAGCATGTTTGACACTTCCTGTCATAACCTGATTAGCACCATAATCTCTGTGTCATAAGGCAACAAAGTAGTAGGTGAAACTCTCTGCTTTCTATTCTTAATATCTTGTTGCAGAAGATTTCACTGTAGACATACAATCTCTCTGCCCTTCACATCTCCATGTATCCTTTCCCATAAATGAAATCTGCTGCTTATATAAGAGTTCAAGTAAATCGTTAAGCTCCCCGATCTCCCAATTTTTGAAATTTCTCCAATAGCTCGGGTCCCATAAAATTATTCCCCTCCAATTCTGGGCCATTGTTGCTCTTTGCTGGTTGGAAAAATTGCCGGGAATGCTTCACCAAGGGGGATTCCCCTTTTGCTTCCACAAGCTAATTTTGGTGCCATCACCTGCTCTAGTTGTAACATTTTTGTAGAACTCCTCCCGTGATACACCTAAAGTTACTCATATGACCCTGATATATTTTTTGTCCTCCAGCCCGCAACCTGAACTCTGTACTTATCCGTGAACTTGTCCAGCTTGCCTGTTCCTCACTTAATAATAACTTTGTTCAGGATGGTTTCTGTTGATTATCAATTGAGTTTAAGCTATCAGAATGCAAAAGATTAAACAGTTTGTTTATTGTCCATTGATGAGACGCATCTAACGGTTAAGGTGCTGGGGTGCAGTGCTTGAAATGATAATTTAGTGTTCATCTATGTCGAAAGCAAATCGCTAGTTTTATAAATTGTTGGTCAATCTCAATAGTTAAATGCTCACTTGGAAAAATTAGCCAAATGCTTTTATAGAGATAGCAGAACATATTTACATATTTGACTCTATTTCAGAGGTGATAAGGTGAATCAGAATCGAGCTGATGTTGCTGATGAAGACACTACACAAAGCAAGCGTTTTGACGAAGAAGCTGGCCTAGATCATCCTGCACAGAAAGATGCCAGTGAGAACTTCAAAACTGAAGATAGTATGCAAAATTTTGCATCTACAAGCATTACAGAGGTTAATAAAGAAACAGAATGGAAGAAATCTTCATTGTAGTTTTGGGACTTCTTTTTTTTTTTTTTTACTGCTCCCTCCACCCCCTCTATGCACACCTCAACCTCCCAGAAAAGGGCTTCTCAACTTCATAGTGTAGGAAAATCATATCCATTGCTTAACAGTTTTACTTAGTCATTTTTCTTACTCAATGAAAATTTTCGTTCTTGACTTTTCCCTTTCGTTTTAACACAGCTTCTCCATATCTGGAAATAAAAAAAATTGCAAGTGGAATTATTCTACTAAAAGAGCAAACGTGACAATCTAGTAAAGTTAAAAGTTCGGATGCTTGCAATTGTAGGCAATAAAACTATATTGAATTGTGTCCCATACAATTTTTTGGCAAATCCTAATTCAAGATGTATTTGACAAATCAAATAGCGGGTTGATAAAAATCAGGTGTATTAAGTTAGAAAACAGGCATCTAATTTCCTTACACAAGATGAATTCGTTCAAGGTCCGTGCAAATATTACGTTATAATAAAGTTTAAAATTCATGTTATGTGGCGTGTTAAGTTACATTCAAAATCAAGAAGATTATATCGTGTCAAATCATATAGCACGTCAAGTCAAAGTAAGATGACTCAATCTTCTTTTTATTGGAATGCTAATTGTTTACAACAAGCCAATAGTAGGAGGTTTGGGAGGGGAAGGATAAATGAACATTTTCTTTGTGTTCCTGAGCGATGTTTTGATATCCTAAATGTGCATTTAACTTGCAGGGTAGAGATTGAGTCAATACAAAGCCTAGGAAATATTAAGTTACAGCTTGAGATGTTTATATTGATTCTTGACAATGATTTGAGGGAAATTTATGGGATAAAATATACCAAATCTTGTTCTGAAGCTTATTTTCACTACAAGTAGAGTTCAAATTTTATTTTTATTTTTATTTTTGGTCATAGTGGATAAAGTGAAGTATTTTAATGCACTAATTACTTTTAGAAACTCAATCATCCTCACCAACCGAGAAAAAACCTATTGATTCCTACATAGAGGAATTAGGAACCAAAATTATTTATAAATATTTAATTTACATTAAACATAATAGAAAAAATTAAATATTTTCGCGGATTACTTTTTACTATTATTATTATTGTTATTGTTTAAATTGAATGTAATTAGTAATCATTGTTTGTAATTAGATAGAGTGCATAGTTATTTGTTACACGGATCTTTTGCTGGTATCGAATGAGATGTGTATGCTTTGTTCGGACTCTACAAAGAAAACGTTAAGTGTCTATTATCAATTCTCTCGACAAAACAACTAGATAAATTGAAGTCTCAAATACCTTTTTTTTTTTTTTTGTGAAAAACCGAACAATGCATGTTTGAAAGCTCATGCATAATTAACCGAACATATCAAGCCTTTGTCCATAATAGAGTTGGAAACTATGACATGCAAATAATTACTCTTACTACTAAACCACTTAAATCAAGCTTTTATCTATAACTAAGTTATCCACATATCATTAGTACGGGGCTACTAAGCCCAAATATAAATAACGTTATCTATCGGAACAACACCCTTCCAGTCTATTGTTAATTTTAATTTTAAGAGATGTGTTTTGGGGGCATCCAAACGATAAGTGCCCTTACTATTTTTGCCAAATACGTTTGAGTTATAAAGTGGAAACTGGCATATTCACCTTCATGTCTTATCAAAGAGAGCTTCATTACAATTGTTGTTGTTGTAAGTAACCCATTTACAGGAAAACATTAGAGAAAACAAAACTAGAGAGAAACTGAGAACGACTTCTGCATACCAGAATTTATTGAAATATAGATAATACGACAGTAAGATTAAATTTAAAGTGAGTCCAAATCTCCAGCTCTTTCAGGAGTCCTAAATTTTTTGCGGCGGGACCTGGGAAACAGAAGCTGCCGGATCTGTTTCTCAGCAGCAACCTCTGATGTTGCCTGCAGTAATATTTAAGAGGCCATAGTAAAAATCAAAATCATGTTTGTTTTAACATTTTCACTTTTAAAGCCAAAAGCATTTTCTATTGCTTACCCTAACTTTGAAGGGGAAACGATGAGTTCGCACTTCTGTTCCCGAGAGAACTCTGACATCCATGCCAAGACTGTCAACTCCAATCAATTTTGCTCTCTGCAAAAAGGTGGAATTATATTAGGGATTTGCAAATATTGATATGTAAAAAATATGAAAAAATGTTCCAGATGGGCTATGTTAGCAAATTCGCCTCTTCCCGCTGAAGTAGGAAATGTTGGAGTTATCTATGATTTTTACCTATTAGTTTAATTTCACATGATGTAAAAAGAGAGGCATTAGTAGATATAACAACATAATCAATCAGATATTTCTCTCAAATGAAACAAAAAATTTAAAAAGAGGCGGGGAGAAAGGACATGAAAGTAACTGCCAAAGCTTACACCAGAAATACCAGATTTCAACTTCTACATGAAATAAATTATTTTACTCCACACCCGTTGAACGAATAAAAATTTGATAGTCCAAACTAGTTTTCGAAAAGAACCATCATTCAAAACGGCACAAACAGCACTAGATCAACCTAATTCGTTTGGAAAGTTTATGCATATGAAAATTAAGCATCAGCGTCAACTGACCAGTACCTCAACATGGAGTCCTTTCTTTCTGCAAAGCGCTTTAAGTGCAAATTTGCACTTTATCCCTTGCTGCCTAAACCACTCTACAATTGCTGGTGTTGAGTGTACAAGAATGTCAGGCTCAGCATCCTGGAAGTCATGCAAATTTACTGCTAACTGCACCAAAGAAGAAGGATGAGCATTGAACATGATATTGTAGCTTACCGAGGTGCTTAAATACTTTAAAGAACATACTCTTCTCATTTCTGCCCACATAGTATGCTTCTACCATCTTTCAGTTCTTTCAAGATGGGAAATCCTAAAAATAGACAACCCGTGCATGCTCCACTCTATAAACAAGATTCGCACGTGACAAAAGAGAACGGCTTAGTACCTACTTATGCCCCTTCAATTTGTCAAGATTTCCCCCTTAAGACACCTAAACTACACGTGTGACTCATTAAACACCAACTACTCAGTGTATGATCACTTTAAAATGGGTTGTGCATAACACACACCTAATACGTGAGTGACACGTTTCATAAACTAAAAGGAGAGAAAAATAAAACATTTAAAAGAACATAACTAAATCTGGGGATCTGATTTTAGTTGGCTAGAGTTCAATTAGAAGTGACCCCTTACTCCTCAGCCAAACTTTCGGCCTTTTTCCACCCTCATTCATTTTTCTCCTTTGAGATCCCTGTTCCTCCGACTCCTTGCAAACACCTTTCTTCACAGCTTTGGCTCTGTAATAAACCAAGACATGTGAAGTAGAAGACCGGAATCTGAACTTGTGTTTCTTGTGGGTTCTTTTTTCTGTAATAAAACAAAGTTATGAAGAAATGCCTTGTTGGAAGGACCCTCCTCTTTGAACAAACAAACATGGTTTTCCATTGAACTTCCTGTCACCCTTCAACTCATGCCCAAAGAAAAACTCTGGAAATGTGGCGGTGAAATGAGATCTGTCCGACTTTTAACATCTCTCACGCCTCAAATTTTTGGCTTAGGATACCCAAGCCACGTAGCTATTTAAGGGTCTCAGACTCACTTTTTACATTTTGGAGTGTGTCAAAAGTGACTCACAAAGTTAAGTTGTGTAAGAGAATTTTTTTTGCAAGTAGAGAAAGAAAAGTGTGTACCAGCCTAAAGAGAAATAAGCATAGCACAAGGAGGTCAAAATACTAAGCTGATTATTTGCAGATATATGAATCACCTTTTTGCTAACACTAACTGACATAGAGCCCGTTTGGCTTAGCTGATTTAGAGTAGCTGATAGGTGCTGAAAAGCACTTTTAAGTGCTCAAGCTGATTTAAAAAATAAGCAGTTACGTGTTTGAATAAAAGTGCTGAAATTAATAATAAGCAGCTGAAGAACTGGGTATACGAAGAGTTTTGTTTTAAAAAGAAGTATTTTAGGGATAGAATAGTAAATATTTTGGTCAAACCTAAAGTGCTTATAAGCTGAAATTTGATAAGTTGGGGGAGACCAACTTATGGCTTTTGGCTTATTTTTGGCTTATAAGCACTTTTAATTTTACCAAACGCATAGATAAGCCAAAAAGTGGTTATAAGCCAGTTTCACCAGCTTATAAGCTAAGCCAAACACCCTCATAGACAATTTGTAGTTTCTACACTGCTGAATTCAACCTAAAGTTTAAACTGCTATTCCAAGTCTGACCTATACCCCAAGCAGCAATCCTACATATGAGTTTCAAAATATCTGTTTTGTCTTCTACAAGATAAACAAAATTTGCATGCATAAACAAGGAACAAGAATACAGTGCCAATGCAGCTTTATCTTGATTGAATTATATTTCTCCGATCTCCATTGTTCACAAGCATTAAATACAACAACATACCCAGTATATTCCCATAAGTAGGGTCTTAGTATGTACGCAGTTCTTACCCCTACCTTGTGAAGGTAGAGAGGCTGTTTCCGAAAGACCCTCGACTCAATACAACCAAATCACACCAATTACAAGCATTAAAGTTTTGTAAATTTTTTGCTTTTGCTGTTAGTTTTGCCTCAAGTACAAACTAATCTTGCCATCTCAAGCTTCAAAAGGTACTTAGTACTTATAAATATATACCTATACATGTGATAGCGCTATTTCATTTCAAAATTGTTACAAACATGAAATGAGTTTGAAGTATACATGCCTGAGCACCATATACAGAAAATAGCTCGATCTTGATGATTTCCAATCTGTAAATAGTCGATAAACTGCAGCTCTTGTCATAGCTTGAACCGAAGCTCAAAGTTTCTCCATCTGGAAGTTAAATGATTGAATTAATACAGATAATCAAAATAAAACAATGAAAACCTTCTACTCGAAAAGACAAAAACTACTGTGGCGAGAGCTCTTTCACTGTCATACACTGATCTGAGATATAGAGTAAGAGATCATTTCTAAACTATAACGAAACCGTCCCTAAACAGAACATCCACTCAACAAATGGTGCAAACAGATAAAATTTTCAGCAGGAGAAATAAAAAATGGAAGTGATAAAAGTAACCATTCAGTTGCAGTTATTAAAGACTATTGATGAAAACCCACCCTGACTTCCTCAGCAGGAAACATATCGTTGTAAACCAAAGAAGATATAAAATAAAATAAAACGTGACACTCGGGATAAGAAAAATGTTGCTTTTAGCTCACAATCGGGAAAAGGGTAAATGCAAATTTCAGCGTCTATTGACCTGAAGAATAGCCTCCTAGTGTCTCAACTTCCTATAAGATGGTTTATATCAGAAGTGATCACTCGGCAATGCCAAACACCATTTATCAGTCTGAAAATATATACATACATAATGCTTACGAGCAATCATCCCTTAAATTAAGGTATCAACAGAAGAAACTCTTTTTACTTATCAAGACAACATATTATCACACCAAAACTATGTAGAAGAACATTTTCTAGCCTTGAATTTGAAAATTTCCTGCATCCTCTTGGTGTGAAACGAATAAATAGTTTAACTTTACCTTTCCAATCTGAGGTGTAGCCGTCACCAACTTCATCATCACTAAAGAGCCTTCGAACATAAAATTCTTCTTCCAGAAAGGCAGGCTTGAGGTGTCCCCAAATTGAAATGCCGTTTGATGGATGATCCATCATCTTAGCATGTTCCATGTCAACAGCCTAAGAAATACACGAATTAGTTTACATTTTGAGCAGAATCAAATTGGACAATGTCTATTCAGAAAAATAAAATTTAGCAGCGGAATAAGATGCAACTGTAGCGTATCATTTGAGCATGTTCCATATTAACACCTGATAATGCACAATTCGCTAAAGAACCTTAAGTTTAATGTACCATTTTATGATCCAAGTTGGACAAAGGATTATTTCTGAAAAATCATACTTGACACAGCATCTCATGTATTGATGGGAAAGGTCATCATCCAAAGAGAGAGACAATAATAAGATAATTTACAGGAAGTTAGTAAAAGTTTGTAATATCTCACATTTAAAATAAGGGTTGTTAAGTAATTGGCCAAAAAAGAAATACAGCTAAGTGGGCCGAGACCCACCAGGAAATAGGTTACGAGTGTTAATCAAAAGAAGGGATAAAAAACTTTGCATGCAACTAAACAAAATAAAGAGGGATTTTAGGGAGGAGTTCTAAAGTTCCTCCATTAGTAACGTTGGGCAGCAACTAATTAGAAGCAAGGTAGAATCTTTCATCATTTGTATTTTAGAAGAAAACACAGAGACTTGGATGCACTCATATCAGCAAGGAACCTTGGAGTGCAACAAATTAAAAGCCACGCAGTATTACCTGAGAACTCTAAACACTCTGAGTAGTGCGGGTACCGTTCAAACTCTTTATTTCAGTCATGTGGACAATTCTTTATTTATTTTTTCTGGAAATTAAGCAATTTATATAGATTCTGAATAGCTTATTTAAATACCACAAAGAGATATTTACTGGTGTATATTTGAGTGATGGATTAATTGTAGGAACTACCTTGATAAAGATAAGGTGCAATTAATTACTTAAGCAAGTTTTAGAATTTTCAAAAGCAATTTGGAACACTATATTTTCTGCAGTAACTTGCCTTACTCTAGAATATACATATGACTTAAAGGAATGCAATTAAGGCATAGAACTATTTTCATGTGACCTGGACAAATCCAACTTGACAAATTGATAATCAAACATGAAACTCCGAGAGTTGGATATTATAAATTTTTTTTTTGATAAAGTAAGTGATTTCAATAGATGGCATCAAGAAGATGCAAGATGTACATGATTTGGCATTTGAGCTTAAAAAAAATATTCTGGCTGCTATACATAATTGGCTAAGCCAGAGCTAAGGAACTAATGAAATCCAAAAGTTGATCAATATTGTTGATAGGGTACAGTCTAGACCAACAAAACAAATTGGCAATACATAGAGCCTTTAAAGAACCTATAGGAGTTGAGTTTCCATCAAAACATCTCTTGTTTCTCTCTGTCCAAATGCAACATAAAATGCATCCTTGACTGTGTAAGGGGTGACCCATTTGAGACCAAAAAGGCAAAAAAAAACATGTACCATATTCTGAAGCCACCTCAGAGTGTAGGAGCAAGTGACAGGTACTTTCAGCTTTCTTTTGACACATGTAGCATCTATTAGGTAACTGGAAGTACCTTTAGTTATCTTGTGTGAGGCATGCCTCATATAATGCTGTCCAAAGTGTAACATATTTCCTCTGGTGGCAAACCTCTGGTGGCAGCTTGGTTCTCCAAATAAATTTCCAGGGCCAATTGTCTATCATGGGATTACTAGAACACATCTATTGATATCCCACCTTGACTGTGTAGATGCCTCCACCATGATTCCCCCATTCAAGTCTATCCACAGCTTGGGGGCTAACAATGCTTTGTTGTAGTCTTGCATAGAGGTCTAGCAGCTCGTTTATTTCCTAATCATGCATGTCCCTTCTGAACTTCAAGTCCCAATTAACCCCTTCCCTATATGTAGCAATAACAGCATTAGGATCTTGGGCTATGGTGAACAAGTTAGGGAATTCAACTTGAAGGGAAGAGTTTCCAAGCCAATTATACTTCCAGAATCTGATGTATGTACCATTCCCAACTTCAAAGTGGATGTTCTGAGCAAAAGTACTCCATAATTTGCTGATGCCTTTCCATAATCCCATACCGTATGGAGCACTTGAGACTTTTAAACACCAGTGATTCAGCTCTCCATGCTTGGCTTTGATGACAACTTTCCAGAACCCAGCATCCTCCATATTGTATCTCCACAGCCAATTCATCATCATGCTTTTATTGTGTGCTGCTATATCTTTAATTCCCAATCCCCTTTGAGTTTTTGGTTGGGCAACCTTTTTCCACTTGATCAAGTGGAATTTATGTCGTTCATTATTGCCCTCCCATAGAAAGTTTCTTCTTAACTTATCAAGTTGCTTCAAAACCTTTGCTGGGATTGGAAATAAAGCCATGTAGCAAGTTGGTATGCTATCCAATACACTGTTGGTAAAGTGTTAATTTGCCCCCAAATGAAAGATATTGCATTTGCCATGATGCAAGTTTCTTCTCAAACTTTTCTATGATCCCATTCCAAATTTCAGTGGATCTAAATTTTGCTCCCAAAGGTAAACCAAGATAAGTAGACGGAAAGGAACCAATTTTACATCACATAATACCAGCCAGCTCATCCAGATTTGGGACTTCATTAACGGGATAAATGGTACTCTTCGACATGTTCATGTGCAAACCTGAAATAGCTTCAAAAATGAATAAAGTTAGGTTTAGCTGGATCACTTGAGACCTCTCAGCTCCACAAAAAATCAGTGTATCATCTGCATAAAGCAGATGAGATACAGCAGTTTGAGTCCCAACATTCCTCCCAATTTTAGAAGCTTCTATCCACTGTAACTGACTGGCTTTCTGCAGCATTTTACTAAGCCCTTCCATGGCCAAGATGAAGAGGAACGGTGAGATAGGGTCACCCTGTCGGATACCTCTTTATGGAGAAAAGAAACCCACTGGACCCCTGTTCACTAAGATAGAATACTTAACAGTAGTGATGCTGAACTTGATCCATCTTTCCCCAAAGCCCATGTGCCTCAGAATTGTGAGCAAGTATGACCAACTCACTTTGTCAAAAGCTTTCTCAATGTCCAGTTTAAATAACAACCCTGGCTCTCCACTCTTAAGTCTCCAATCTAGTGCCTCATTTGCAATGAGAGCAGCATCTGTGATTTGTCTCCCTTTTACAAAAGCATTCTGACTCCCTGATACCAACTTTCCACTGACTGCTTTAAGCCTTTCAGCCAAAAGTTTAGAAGCAATTTTATAAACACTGCTTATAAGACTGATTGGTCTATAATCCTTGAGCTCGGTTGCGCCTTTCTTCTTAGGAATCAGAGCAATAAAAGAGGCATTAATAGATTTAACCATGTGGCAGTTGTGGTGAAAGTGATTCATTGCATCAATAACCTCCTTTTTTGATAATCTCCCAAGCATGTTGAAAGAATGCCATAGTAAAACCATCAGGTCCTGGAGCCTTATCTGGAGCACATTTTTTAATGGTTGAAAGAATCTCCTGTTCCTCAAACTCCCTTTCCAACCAGTTCCTCTCAGCTTCTGAAATCCTAGCTAGATTGTCAAATCTAGCTGACGGCCTCCAAGATTCATTCTCTGTGTACAACTGGTGGTAGAAGTTCAGGATTTCACTTTTGATTTCCTCTTTATCTTCGGTGATGACTTCCCCCATCTGAAGCCTATCCATGCAGTTGTTTCTTCTATGAGCATTAGCCATCTTTTGGAAGTACTTTGTATTTCTATCTCTATCCTTAAGCCATAAGCATCTTGATTTTTGTCTCCATGAAACCTCCTCAATCTTTGCTAACCGCTGAATTTGTGATTGCAGGTTGATCATTTGAGCCTTCTCAGCTTGTGTTTGAACTCTGCCTTCAGATGATTGTTCCAGTATAGTTAGTTCATTAAGTGCCTTACTTTTTTGAGTTTCTAGTTTTCCAAATACCTCCCTATTCCAGCATGAGATGTCTTTCGTCTTTCTTCAGATTCCTCAGTTTTTTAGTCAAGATGAAGTCTGGACTGCCCACTACTTGATAACTGGACCACCATTCTTTAACTGAGTCCATGAATCGCTCTGCCAGCAACCACATATTCTCAAATTTAAAATAAGATGAATTGGAGTCCCAATCCCCACATTCAAGCATTAGTGGCTTATGATCAGACTCTACTCTGGGTAAAGCCACCTGCTTTATTGCCTTGAAGCTGTCATTCCAGTTCCACTCAGATGAAATTTAGACCCTTTCAACTCTAGAAGCCTGAAGTTGTTCTTTATCTCTAGACCATGTATATTGAGCTCCCTGTATGGGTAAGTCTAACAGTTCCAATTCCAATATAATATCAGAGAAAGATTTCATTGCTCTAGACCTACTAAGACAGTTGAATTTTTCATGCTCATATCTGCATACATTAAAGTCCCCCCTATCACCCAATGCTCATCCCAAATACCCCTTATTGCTGCCAATTCATGCCAAAGATCCTTTCTTGCTGCATTTGAATGTCGCCCATATACCCAAGTATAACACCACCTGAATTGTTCTTGGAGACTTTCTAGAATGACAAAAACCGAGTATATACCTAGCTGAATGTTAATGCTTTTCCACAACCTCCTGTCCCACCAAATGATGACCCCACCTCTTGTGCCATTTGCTTGCAAATCTGCCCGGCTAGCCCATCTATTTCCCCATAAAGAACCTACTAATTGTTGTGACCACTCTTCAATTTTTTTGTTTCCTGCAAACATACTATATCTGCCTTCCACTTCATTAATAAAGATTTGATGATCCCCTCTTCTTACTCTCATTCAACCCCCTAACATTCCAATAAGGATTTTTACTTTCATCCCGAATGAGCTTTGTGAATCTTGCCCCTTACCCTACCCTCCCCTTTCCCTTGGCTTAATTTTGAGACCAATTTTTTCAATTATGTCACCCCTTTCTTCTTTTTTGTCTTCGAACAACCCCCTTCTGAGTCCCTTTGCTGTAATTGAGATTGTCTCCTCTGGTCCATTCTTAGAATCATATTCAATAATTCGTGTTCAAAACCAGTTGCATTAGCCCCAAATGCTTTGCATGCCTTCACCATAACCAAC